CTTAATGCCTTTTTCTCACAATTGGAAATCAGTGACTCAAATGATAAAAGAATCTGCTTGCAATACGGAAGACCCGGGTTCAATCCCTGGGTTGGAAGATCCCCTGGAGTAGGGAATAACAACCCACTCCATATTCTTGCCTGGAGAATCCCATGGACAGAGGAGCCTGGTGGGCTACAGTCCATGGTGTTTCAAAGAGTCAAACACAACTGAATGACTAACACACACATATAAAGTTAGCAAAAGGCTGTATAAACAAGATGCTTCTAACCCTACCTTTTAAGTATCTTAAGACATTTACACAAAACAATAAAAAAAAAAGATCTGTCAAAATGAAAAAGGCTAATTAAAACAAAAGCCAAGGTTTCCTAACATATTAGTACAAGCCTGGAACAAAGAAGACCTGCTTAAGATATAGCTGACTCCCAAATTAAGTAATGCACATCATACATGAGCAGTCAGATTATTTTTTTTAAAAAAGTAGTGCAGTTGTATAGTCCTACTAAATAATAAAAATGATTTCAGTACTGTTATCTGAAGATACCGTATGACAGCTTCCTCCCAGAGTGTTAATGCAGAGAGAAGCCTCAGTCAGTAAGTAAACTAATTTAAATCAAATTCTATCTAGTTGAAAATAGTCATCATGGGCTGCCCAGAGTTGGTGAGTCTGAATGCATTACTGAAGAGCTTCTTGGTAATTGCAGGTTGCTATTTATGTTGACCAGAGTCGGAGGAGTTTACTTAAGCGAGATGTCTAAGCATACAGACCACCAGTGCAAAACATACAGGAAAATCACTCATAACATCCACACTAAAAACAGCCTAGATGCTCTCTGTGATGTCGCAGTGTGGTTGTTATTTCCTAGTGTCAGATGCACCGTTGGTGACAGAATGAAAATTTATGACTTCAGTTATTTTATTTTCAAGTAATGTGCTACCACAAGAGATTCTTTCTAGTTCAGTGGAGTGTAAGTTAAATATTTGAGACTAAATATTATTTTCAAAAGCCCTAAATTTCTGCTTGTAAACAGGTATGCACAAAAAATACTCATGGTAACAATCATCAGGAGATATTTTTTTATCACAGGGGGACCCCATGGACTATAGCCTGCCAGGCTCCTCTGGCCATGTAATTCTTCAGCCAAGAATACTGGAGTGGGTGTCCATTCCCTTCTCCAGGGGATCTTTCTGACTCAAGGATAGAACCCAGGTCTCCTGCACTGTAGGCAGATTCCTTACTGTCTGAGTCACCAAGCAAGCCCTGCTTAGAGTCACCAATTCCCAAATGTGTCTAATAACACAAAAGCCATGGTGCTAAGTGGGAAATAAAGACCAGTTCTAAGATAGACTTGTCACAAGACACATGGACAGGTAGGCTAGCTCATATTCTTCCCTGTGTTACTCCATAATGTTTTTTTTTAATCATCATTAGCATCATCACTAAATTAAGTATCAGAAACCTGAGTTCTAATTCCAAACCTGAGTAGCTAATAATCTAAAGCACTGTATAATCATGGGAAAAGCCTATATCTCTCTGAGCTCCAATTTGCTTATCTATAAAATGAAGAGGTTGGCAAGGTATGTTTTTAAAACAGAATAGAAAAATGCAAGGCAAAAATGATGACCTAAACATATTAAAATTGATCCTAACTTACAAAAGGCAAACCCAGAGGGTACCATGGGATTTAAAAAAAGGAATGTTTTTCATCTTAGGGGAAGTAGGAAAATGAAAAACATTGTAAAATTCAGTGGTTATGAGGATGGAGTAAAGAACAAACATACTTTTAACCATGAAAAGAGTTCTACAAAAATGTAAAACAAACAAAAAAAAGTCCATTACCTTTGGCCTAGGAATCTTACTTTTGAACACAAATCCCCAAAGAAAATATCCGTAAAGAAAAATCAAAGTTTGCTGAAAAAGAATCTCCATAGCAGCACAATATGTATAAGAGAAAAATTGGAAACAACCTGTAAGTTCAAAAATAGAGGCACAGTTAAGCAAAATCTGGTTTTGCTAACAAAATGGAACAGAGGCCTGGATAGCCACTTTTTTATTTTAAAGTACTGAACTTTTTTTTTCAAGAGTGGAAATATTCGACATGATATAATAGGAAATGTGAAGGTTGATCACAAAATACCTTTGCCCTCTTTATGATCTTACCAAAAACTCACTGATGAAAACCAGAACAAGAAATTGGAGGCATGGAACTAGCTTACTGGGTCCATTCTTTCTATGAAATTCATTACAACAGCAGAAAATAGGAGGGGCGGGTGGGGAGAAAAGAATGCTCTTTAGACAAGAGTTCAGCTTTTCTAATATAACTCTAATATCTTCTCTCTCCCTCTAATGCTTCATGTTTTTCAAGCACTTTCAAAAAGATTGTGCTTTCACCGTTTGAAGAAGAATCAGCATTCATGGCACTTACACACTTGAAAGTTAAACTTCTGTACAAGGTCTAGTGAACAGAAATCTACCCTACAAAACCATTCTATACCTATGTTTGGACAATGGTCCTCCTCTCCCCAAAAGTCATCAGGGGGAATTGAAAGGAAGCATCAAGTATTAGGAGTTAAAATTTCAACAGGCTTTTAGACTCTAACCTTAATAAAATAGAAACCCGCCACAAGGCAAATGCCTTGGAAAACTGTTGCATATTTCTTATGCACAATTACTTCTTTCCTTGAACACTATAAATCACAAAACCATGGCCAAGGTTATCACTCTGGTTGGCCCAGCAACAGATTACTCTCAGCTTTAGAATATACATGGTGAATGCACTTAGCACAGAACACAGAATTCATGAACATAATTATGACTTGGTATTTATTTGGGTTAAGTGTACACAGCCACTTTTGGATTATCACGTCACTAAAAACTCCAAACAGTTATTAATAGAAACTTTAAAAAGAAAAAAAAAAGGAAAATTCTTCTCAGTAATGATTCTCCCAAATACACGTAAGTGGTGACAACACTCTTGTAGAGAGCAATGGTGATGTTTCACAAAAATCTTCCTCCTTCTAAAAGAATAGTTTTTTTTTATGAGTCAATATTTATGAACCTTATGTTTGAAGCATTAAGATGCTGGTGTCTGTTAACATATTTTATGAATGATAAAGAAAAAAATAATGATGTGTCAGAAGAGAAAGAGCTTTATTAGAAAGCCTAAAAGATCAAAATGATAACAACTAGGTATACCAAACGTGGAGAAATTCTACCAGAGACTGTCATGTCAGACTTCCCCCAGCGATTGTTAGGGCACAGAGTCAAAAGTATTCTCAATTTTTTATATTGACAACTCTAGAAAAGTCCCAAGTTTCTGGGTTATACTAAAATGATACTGACAATCAGCTATGCCAAGTTTCATCACCAGCATGATCTAATAATTTAAAAACAGGCTTTCATTTTCAAAACTATTCAGCATAGCAGCATATTTCACCTTAAATCAATGGCTTCCAGAGACAGACCATATGTTTATTCTTAACCAGCAAATTTCAACAAGCTTTTAGAAGAAGGAACTAGGAGAAGGAATTATCCATTTAAGAATGAATCTCAAAAGTAAAATGCAAAAATGCAAACAATTCCAGTGAAATTTTTGATCTGGAGAAATTACTCTCTAGGATTTTATCAAAATATGTTTCAGCATTCAAATACTACTTAAGATCACATAGGTAGGTCCTAAGATGCCACATAATAATTTACAGATTTGAAGAAGATGACAAATGTGCAGAACTCTGAGACTTGTATTAAATTTTTAAAAAATCTATACACTTTGATTTGAATTAAACTTCTCTTGCATCAACTATTAGCTACTAGATGAGAGAGCAATTCAGCAGTGAGACAGACTGATTTAATATTTACTCATTAAAAATATCATGTGATGAGAAAGGGATGGGAGGATGTCTTAAAAATAACTTCAGAAAGATCACGTATGTGTGAGCAAATCACAATCAGAACAGAAATGAAAATAAAAGGATAACCGGCAACAAGGAACTTCAGTAGCTAAGGAGCTATTTACATTTCAAAGTCCTCTGTCTATGGTATTCTTAAGTATGATACCACAAAGGTCTGTCAGAGCGACAGAGTCTTCAATTAAGGCTGTGTGCTACAGGCCTGTGTCAATTAATTAGTTGAGGTTGCACAGATTTTCTGAAAGTGGCTATCTAAAACAGCCTCAGATATATGCACGATTTGTGGGGAATTAAAATTTAAATACAACTTTCTAATCAATTCTTCCTGCTTTCCCATTTCTATGACATTTTGTGTAATGATAAATAAGTCCATAAAAATATGACTAACCAAAATTTTATTTGCTTTCAATTAGAGGTAACAGAAGGGGCTTTCAATTTCGCTTTCGACTTCAACTTTTACTTAGATTTTATCTAGACTTATTGGCAAGAATTTTCATATGCTATCCATCAATATAATGAATCTGATCCATATTTAGATAGGAGATGAGTCTATATTGGAAATTCACATGTATTACAACTAAATCAGCTATCCAGTAATTTCTATAAACAATGGCATAATAAAAATACAGATTTCATGCTTTTGCCTTGAGATTTTGCCTGCTAAATCTACTCATTTTAATTTTGCTAAATGTTAGTTTGACATGTCTTAGCAATTCTTTGATTTGCAATACTAAGTAGATGATGGTTGTAAATAATGTTTAAACCAGCAGAATCAGATATTCGGTAAATATGATCTTTTACTGGAAGTAAAATGTAGGCAGAAAATGGTAAAAAAAAATTAACTGTGTGATGGTTTCCACCATAAATGAAAAATGGAAGAGGTTTACAGGAGATCAGGAGCCTTCTAGTTGTGTACATAAGAGATTTATGAGCTCGTCTGTAATCCTAAAATAAAGTCCCTACAGTCTCATTATAGGGACTGTGAAAAATTCATACTTGTACAGTGGAGATCATTTAGAGACTTTTTAACAGTGAACGGTATTTCAAGAGCATTGGCGCTGCATGTACAAATGTATCTTTTGAGGTCGTACCATTGAGAAGGGGCTGTCCTTCCAGCACATCCCGGGACAAGACTGCACTGTAAACATCTTCAGGAAATCCAGTCTTGCATAACGCGATCTCCCCAGAAGCCTCCACGGAAGCCTGCAACACAAGGAAAAAAATGTGTGCTGTGATCACCACCTCCTTCAATGGAGAAACATCCCACTTGGCATAAAGCCTCGCTTTTCCCACTATTTTGTACAAATAACCCCTTTGTTTTCGGAGTGGTTACAATTAGAACGTAGAGGGCAAAGGGTTAATCTTTTTGATAACTGGAGTAGGAGAAACAAATCCCACTTGTCTTAAATAGCAAAATTGAAATAATGCACATTCCAGGATCTTCTCAGGACTGAACATTTCCATTAAAATGGTCATTGTGAATGAAAAACTCTCAAGTGAAGCTGAGGGGGGAGAAGTGGGGTTGAGGGGACAGCCAGAGAGTTTTGAGGCTCCATAGATCACCATCACTAACTCAACTTTTCAAGAAAAATGTGCACATCCCAGCATATTGATTTGTATATTCTCATCTAATTCTCTATGAAGTTTGTTTCAATGCGTTCCTGAACTAAAAAACAAAATGGTGATGTATTTACTGCAGGGTACAGAGTGTTCTATACCAAGTAAAACCAAGCAATTGAAAGTATGTATTTCTCTAGACTCATGGATATAGAAAGAAAACAAACATGGTTACCAAAGGGGAAAGGCAGGGGAGGGATAAATTAGGAATTTGAGGTTAACAGATACCCACTACTATATATAAAACAGAAAAACAAGAAGGACCTACTGTAAGCACAGAGAACTATATTCAATATCTTCTAATAACCTACAATAGGCTTCCCTGGTGGCTCAGATAGTAAAGAATCTGCCCGAAACGCAGGAGACCCAGGTTCAATCTCTGGGTTGGGAAGATCCCCTAGAGAAGGGAATGGCAACCCACTCCAGTATTCTTGCCTGGAGAATCTTCATGGACAGAGAAGCCTGGCGGGCTACAGTCCAAAGGGTCACGAAGAGTTGGACATGACTGACCGACTAGCAATTTCAATAACCTATAATGGAACAGAGTTTGAAAAAGAATATGTAAACTGAATCACTTTGCTGTATAGCTGAAACTAACACATCATTGTAAATCAACTATCCATCAATTAAAAAAGGAAAATGTATTTTTCTCTAATTTGAGGGCAAGGACACATTAAAAATGTAAATACACAATTATGTTTCCTTTTTATACTCAAAAATTAGAAAGTTTCTATCTCTTGCCATCTTCCTCCCTCTCATCACACATACTCAGTAGGCTTAAAACTCAGTCATACCAAGTGCTATCCACCTACCCCTCTGAGTTAATTTCCTCACTACTTCCCTTTCTTTCCTACTTCCTACTGACATCACCACAGGATGATTAAGCCTCAGTAGAACACAGGCATCATTTGCATTAATTATAAAAATCTTTGGGAGGTGGGAGGGAGGTTCAAGAGGGACGGGACCTATATATACCTGTGACTGATTCATGTTGATGGATGGCAGAAGTCAACACAATATTGTAAAGCAATTATCCTTCATTTAAAAGTAAATAAATTATTTAAAATAATCTTCACCTGGCCCTGATGGGAATCCAAATACAGGAGGAAGAGAGTGGACAGAAGCTGCCCGAGGGAGCAGCTTAATTTCAAAGTTAAGGAGGGGCTTAAACTTCAAAAGCTGCAGGGCCAGCCTTGTGAGCAGTCTGCACTGCAGAGAAGAACCAGAAATTGGGAGGAAGGAGGAAGGGAGATGCCAGAGATAGAGAGACCTCAAAGCAATTGTCTGAAGGAAGCCATACAACGCAGATTTCACAATTGAAGGCGTTTCTGGGTGATTCATGGGAAGTGTTGCAGACACTGAAGTTGCAAGAATCCAAACTGATCTAAAATATAAACAGTTCTTTTCAGATCTGAGAAAAAACAAGAAAAAAAGGACATGGGCTTTGCTAATCTCTCCGTATCTAATCTCAATAATGTATCAGGAGCAACAGTGAGATATTAGATCAGACCCACCAAAGTAACAAAAATTATTAAGTCTGTTACGGGCAAGGAAAGATTGTCTCAAATCAAGGGTACAGAGCTATCAACCCCTTCACAGAGGTATCAGTGGATGCAGCTACAGTCAGCATGAAAAATTCTAGTAAAGATAACAGTAGCATATATCCTGCAGGTATATTCTTGGTAAAGTCTCCCATGGGTGCTCTAGCCAAGACGTGTAGAAATGTTCACTTCAGCACAGTCGTAACTGCAAGACCTGGAAACTACCTAAACGCCCGTCAATAGAGGACCAAAAGATTTTCACTTAGTCAAGGAGAGAATAGCATTAAAATGGAAGAATTAGAGCTACATTTATCCACAAGCTTCCATCGCAAAACAGATATTCAGTTACTTTAACTTTCATGTAAGGCTGAGAGAGAAATTTAACTATAAATCACCCTAGGAATGACTATTATCTTTAGTAAGTTTAGAAATCTATTTATAAAGGATTCCAAAATCAGATTGGTACCAAGATACACTGCAGTCTAAATCTTTACAAACCAAAAGCAAAAATCCAAAGCATGACTGATGACAGTTTTTATATATAAGGCTTAAATTCAAAAGGTAATATAATACATATGTAGTAAAAATATAAAAATATACAAGGTACTGATAAGCACCAAATTTAGGAGAGTGGCTACCCCAGGGAAGGCGAGTGAGGAGAAGCACCAGAAAGAATCCTATAGGCAGCTTTGATTTTATTTACCGTAATTCATTTCTTTCCAACAGAATCTAAAGCAAACGGGGTAAAATGTGAAGGTGTGCATAGGCACAGAATGATATGTGTGTATATCTCCTATAAACCCTGCCTGCTCTGTATATTTCAAAATGAGAAAGAGATAATATCTAGGGCTCTCTGATCAGTAAGAACTTGGGCTTTCAACAATCATCAAGTTTGGGAAACTGGGTGATATTTTGCTATTTGCCAGCTGCAGATATCCAGCCATTCATCCCGGGCCTGACACAGAGTAAGCACTACTAGTTAGCTTTTCTTTAGGCTAACGATAACAAATAAAGAGAAGTCCCAGGTTCACCACAGCAATTGGACCAATGTGTTGTAAACCTGTGACCCAGTGATAGGTTAGGCACCGGGGCCTCTTGATCTTCAGTCCTCCTGCTACAGATGGGGGCCAGGGCGGGGATCCAACCCCAGGAGGTGGATGAGAGCAGAGGGGAGAGCAGGACAGAAGCAAACAAGGGTCACACTCCATCCTGGGGGGTGGGGTCAGGGCAGCATGCAGTTTTCTAGGTTGAGCTCTCAGAGGTTAATGAAATCTACAGACTAGTGGAAGCCTGTCATCTCTTATTTAACTCCATTCCTAGTGTCTTGTTTTCCAATGGACCTGCCCTAAGTGCGTGTATGTTCAGTCATTCTGTCGTGTCTGACTCTCTGCGACCCCATGAACTGCAGCCCTCCAGGCTCCTCTGTCCGTGGGATTTTCCAGGCAAGAATACCCAAGTGGGTTGCCATTTCCTCCTCCAGGAGATCTTCCTGACCCAGGGACTGAACCTGCATCTCCTATTTCTCCTGCGTTGGCAGACACATTCTTTACCACTGAGCTGCTTGGGGAGCCCTCCGTCCTAGGTGAGTGCTAAGTTGCTAGAGTGTGTCTGACTTCGTGCAACCCTCTGGACTGTAGCCTGGCAGGTTCCTCTGTCCATGGGATTCTCCAGACAAGAACATCGGAGTGGGTTGCCATTTCCTTTTCAGGGGATCTTCCTGACCTAGGGATCGAATCCTCATCTCTTTCCTCTCCTGCATTGGCAGGCGGGTTCTTTATCAGCTGAGCCAGCACCAGGCTTCTGGAAAGGGCCAGAAAGCAAATATTTGAAGCTTTTCAGGCCACAGAGTCTCTATGGTTCTGCTGTCATAGTGCAAAAAAAGTGGGTAAATGAATAAACGTGGCTCTGCTCATTCAACTAAAACTTCATTCATGGACACCAATAATGAAATTTCATGTAATTCTCAAGTGTCAAAAAGTAGTATTCTCTTCATGATTTTTTAAAAAGCATTTTAAAACTTGAAAAAGATTCTTGGCCCCAAATCCAGCATTGAGACTGAAGTTTGTGGATCCCTAGATTAGAAAGCTAAGTTTTATAAAACATGGCCATCTCCCTTAATTCTCACAGTAGCCCCCTGAGGGGAGTGAAAAGAGCTGCAGTTTACAAATGAGCAAAGAGATGCTCACTCAAAGGTGAATACCCACGTTCTCACCTCCAGGAAGAGGAAGAGGCAAGATTCTAACCCTGAAGGCTTTTGCCAAGTAGGACAAATAATTACAATTCTTCTCAGAAACATATACTGAGTGTCCACTTTCCAGAAACAGAAGGAAATATTGCCCTGCCCTTAAGAAGTTCAAGGCTTCAAGTGAGAGCAAAGGAGAGATGATTGCAATAGAAAGCGGCAAGTCAGAGGTAGCAGGATGCAGAGGGGGGTGGAGAGAGCCCAGGGCAGGGAGCTGGGGGCCTCCAGAGATCCCAGGAGGAGCCAGGCAAGGGGATGGGGTGCGGGGAAACCATCCCAGGCGGTCACTGCTCGAGCCAGAACGAGCCAGAACGAGGCAGCAAGAAACAGCACACTGCCTGGGGAATGACAATGAGCTCTGTGTCACTGGAGTCTAAGAAGCAAGGCGGGGAGTCAAAAGTTGAGGCTGGTGAGTTAGAGGAGGTTAGCTCATAGATGGCTGGGGGCTTGGGGTTATTCTGTTGGCTGGGGAGAACCAGGCATGTGTGTCCAACACAGGCAGACTGTGCTTGATAGAGAACTCTCTGATGCTTCGTGGGAAACGTTTGTGTGTGTGTGTATGGGTGGGACAACGAGTGACAGGTTGGGGACAAGTTAGGGCACAGATGTGAATCAGGCAGGGGCTGCAGGACTGAGAAAAGGGGTGACTGTATCAATATGCAGACAGTGAAAAATGATGCCTTGGGCTCCATGAGGGCAGGGCCTCAGGGTGGGAGGGTGGGAGGGAGGGAGGGAAGGAAGGAGGGAGGAGGTTTTGCCCTCCTCCGTGTTTCCAGCTGGGTGACCGTGGACATGAGTGGCAC